GACGGGGTGGTTGGGTGGGGAGCGAGGGAGTGTGGGTCGATGGGGCGTTGCCGAGGATCGGAGGAGGAGGTGGTGGATGAGGAGGAGCGGGCGTTATATGAGGGCAAGGGCGAGGAGGACGAGGAACAGCATTGAGAGGACAAAGCGGAAAGGGGTTAAGGCCGAGGGCCCGAGCCGCGACAATGTCAATGATGGGGGGCCAGGCTGAGCCCAGGAGGGCGCGCCACGAGCGCGCATTCGTTTTTCGGTCGTCGTCGACTGGCTGGGCGATTGCAGCCCGTCCTCCTCCTCCTCCTCCTCCTGAATGTTTTACACTTTTTAATCGACGTGCCTTCCCCCCTGGGGGTCGCACCCGGTCTCGTTTCAAGGAAACTCTGAGGTCTCAAACTCTGGTGTTGCCCCCCAGACTACAACAACAACGGCCCCCAGACAGCTTATTTGAATTCGCGCTCTCTCTCGAGATTTCTTCACAATTTACTCACGAGTCGCGCTGCCTGCCTTGGAGCTAAGACTTCCGTTCAACTCACTACGGCGCTGTTGTTCTCGACGTCCAGCAAGCGCGCTCCCGCACGAGACGTTTTCACAGTTTAATCAAGGCTGAGTTTTTTTTTTGTGCTAAGCAAAATTCGACGTGCGCTTCAGTGCCCCGCCCGCCCGACCCCCCCGCTGGGGCCTGCCCGCCCGACCCGCCCGTCAGGATCCGCTCGTTCGCCCGCTTGGAAGCTCGCCCGCCCGCTTCGATGTCGCGCCCAGCCCGCCTGTTCTGATTGGCTTGTTTTCCACCACCACCACCATGAGTTGGAGGGGGGAAGGAGGTGGAGGAGGAGGAGGAGGAGGAGGAGGAGGAGGAGGAGAGGAGGAGGAGGAGGAGGAGGAGGAGGAGGGGGGAGGAGGAGGAGGAGGAGGAGGAGGAGGAGGAGGAGGAGGAGGAGGAGGAGGAGGAGGAGGAGGAGGAGGAGGAGGAGGAGGAGGAGGACCCCCTCCCCCCTCCAACTTATGGTGGTGGCGGTGGTGGTGGGAGACAGGCCCCTCATATTAGGGTCTGCCCGCACGACCCGCCCGTCAGGTCCTGCCCGCCCCGACCCGCCCGTCGGGGTCCGCCCGCCCGACCTGTCTGTCAGGGTCCAGCCTTCCGCGTGCTTGGAAGCCCGCCCAACCCGCTTTGACGCCCCGCCGCGCCCGGCCCACCCGTTGGAGCTGGCCCGCCCGTCGGGGGTCCGAGCGGCAAGTGCACTTCTCCTCCTCCCTCCCCCTTCTGCTAAATCGTCTTTGCCCTCAGTCCTCCTCCCTGCCTCTTGCCCCCGTTCAGTTCTCACTTGCTCCTCCTTTCTTCGCTCTCGCCCTTTCCCTTTTTCCGTCATCCTGCCGATTTCGGGGCCGCGCCAACCACAACGTGGCAGGCAAGGAATCTCTACCCCAAAGGGAGTACGATCGAAGACGAAAGGGGCGGGTATCGCAGGGTTCGGGGTATAATACATGTTGAGTGGCGCACGAGCAGCGCAGAGCGAGCAGTCTTACAGTGAACGTTGTCATTGTTACTTCATACGGGACCCCGGGCCCGCACCCTCCCCAGCAACCAGCAAACCAGCATCCCCCCAGGGGGTGTTGCTGGCATGCTGGGGGCCCCGATTGGCTCGTCGGCCCACTGGGCCCCCACGGCCCACCCCGGGGTGGGGGCCGAGGGTCCCCCGTGTGGGCTTGCTGGGGCTGCCGGTTGCTTGCGCAGCCCGAGGACCCCTCGGGGCTGCACAGGATTTTCTCCAAATAGGCTTGCCCTACAGGAGTTCTAATTCTTTACGCTTCGCGTATCCCCACCAGCCCATCTCACAGCAGCAACTCTCGCGAAGCATGCCGACAGTCGTGTTTTTCCGGCGTGTGTCCGCTTGGCCCCGCATATCTCCCCTGTTCCTCCTTCCTCCCGCCTCCTTGTACATCCTCCTTGTGGGGGGAGCGGGAGAAGGACGAGGCGAAGGAGGAGGGAGAGAAAGCGCTCCTCGTGGTTTGAGTCGTTTGGGGTTTCTCGTCCTGGTCTGAGTCGTTCGGGCCCTTCTTCCTGGTGTGAGTCGTTCGGGCTCTTCGTGGTGTGAGTCGTTCGGGCTCTTCGTCCTGGTGTGAGTCGTTCGGGCTTCTCGTGGTGTGAGTTGTTCGGGCCCCTCGTCCTGGTGTGAGTCGTTCGGGCCCCTCCTCCTGGTGTGACTCGTTCGGGCTCCTCGTGGTGTGAGTCGTTCGGGGCCTTCGTCGTGGTGTGAGTCGTTTGGGCTCCTCGTGGTGTGAGTCGTTCGGGCGCCTCGTCCTGGTGTGAGTCGTTCGGGCCCCTCCTTGTGGTGTGAGTCGTTCGGGCTCTTCGTGGTGTGAGTCGTTCGGGCCCCTCGTCCTGGTGTGAGTCGTTCGGGCTCCTCGTGGGGCCTCTTGGGGGCCTCTTGGAGCCTCGTGGGGCCTCTTGGGGGACCTCTTGGGGGCCTCTTGGGGGCCTCTTGGGGCGTCGTGGGCCTCTTGGGGGCCTCTTGGGGGCCTCTTGGGGGCCTCTTGGGGCCTCGTGGGGCCTCTTGGGGGCCTCTTGGGGGCCTCTTGGGGGCCTCTTGGGGCCGCTTGGGGGCCTCTGGGGGGCCTCTTGGAGGCCTCTTGGGAGCCTCCTGGGGGCCTCTTGGGGCCATCTTGGGGTCTCTTGCGACCTCCGCAGAAGCGCAAAGGAGAGCTGCCCCCTGAGAAGGACAACATGAGCCCAAAACCTTCGTAAAATCAATGATTTTGCTATGAGGGAAGAGAAGCGCGGCCCCCTCAGGAGGCCAAAATGGGGCCAAAACCGTAGTAAAATCAATGATTCTGGCTTCAAAGAAGAGCAGAGGGGCCAAACTCGGCCCCCCCGTCGGGGCCAGAATCCTCGTGAGGGTCGTCGTTTTTTGCCCCTCCCAGGAGTCGAAAAAGACCTCCTTGGGAACACCCAGGACTCCCTGTCCAGGCCCAGGGGGAGGGGGTAGGGGGAGGGGTAAACCCCTCCCCGAAGGGGAAGAAGGGGGGTTGAGGACAGAGCGGGCTCTCTAAACCACTCACGCCCAAAGGGCTGGTGGGATTCTCTACTACTACTTGGTCCGTTCCCCCCCTATCCTATACTAGTCCCACCAGCCCTTTGGGCGTGAGTGGTTTAGAGAGCTCTCTCTGTCCTCAACCCCCCAACCCCCCTTCTTCCCCTTCGGGGAGGGGTTTACCCCTCCCCCTACCCCCTCCCCCTGGGCCTGGACAGGGAGCCCCGAGTGTTCTCAGGGGGGTCTTTTTCGACTCCTGGGAGGGCCAAAAAACGACGACCCTCACGAGGATTCTGGCCCCGACGGGGGGGCTCTGAAAAAACCCTCTCCTCTTCTGTGAAGCCAAAATCATTGATTTTACTACGGTTTCGGCCCCATTTTGGCCTTCTGAGGGGGCAGCGCTCCTCTTCCTTCTTCTCAAAATCATTGATTTTACGAAGGTTTGGGCTCATTTTGTCCTTCGCAGGGGCTCGCGCTCATTTGCGCTTCTGCGGAGGTCGCAAGAGGCCCCCAAGAGGCCCCAAGATGCCTCCCAGAGGCTCCCAAGAGGCGTCCAAGAGGCTCCCAAGAGGCCCCCAAGAGGCCCCCAAGAGGCCCCCAAGAGGCCCCAAGAGGCCCCCTAGAGGCCCCCAAGAGGCCCTACGAGGAGCCCGAACGACTGACACCAGGACGAGGGGCCCGAACGACTCACACCACGAAGAGCCCGAACGACTCACACCACAAGGAGGGGCCCGAACGACTCATACCAGGACGAGGCGCCCGACCGACTCACACCACGAGGACCCCGAACGACTCACACCACGACGCGGGCCTCGAACGACTCACACCACGAGGAGCCCGAACGAGTCACACCAGGAGGGGCAGCGCTCATACAAGCCCCCCAAGAGGGCCCCCAGAGGTCCACCGTGTGGCCCCAAGAGGTCCCCAGATGGTCCAGATGGCCCACAGGAGGTCCCCAGGAGGCACCACGAGGCCTCCATGAGGCCCCTGAGATACCCCCCAAGAGGCCCCCAAGAGGCCCCACGAGGCGCCGAAGACGCCCCAAGAGGCCTCCGACTCACATCACGAGGAGCCCGAACGACTCACACCACGACGCGGGCCTCGAACGACTCACACCACGAGGAGCCCGAACGAGTCAGACCAGGAGGAGGGGCAGCGCTCATACAAGCTTCCCAAGAGAGCCCCCAGAGGTCATTGATTTCACTACGGTTTCGGCCCCATTTTGGCTTTCTGAGGGGGCAGCGCTCCTCTTCCTTCTTCTCAAAATCATTGATTTTACGACGGTTTGGGGCTCATTTTGTCCTTCGCAGGGGCTCGCGCTCATCTGCGCTTCTGCGGAGGTCGCAAGAGGCCCCCAAGAGGCCCCAAGATGCCTCCCAGAGGCTCCCAAGAGGCGTCCAAGAGGCCCCCAAGAGGCCCCCAAGAGGCCCCCAAGAGGCCCCCAAGAGGCCCCTAGAGGCCCCCAAGAGGCCCCACGAGGAGCCCGAACGACTCACACCAGGACGAGGGGCCCGAACGACTCACACCACGAAGAGCCCGAACGACTCACACCACAAGGAGGGGCCCGAACGACTCACACCAGGACGAGGCGCCCGAACGACTCACACCACGAGGACCCCGAACGACTCACACCACGACGCGGGCCTCGAACGACTCACACCACGAGGAGCCCGAACGAGTCACACCAGGAGGAGGGGCAGCGCTCATACAAGCCCCCCAAGAGGGCCCCCAGAGGTCCACCGTATGGCCCCAAGAGGCCCCCAGATGGTCCAGATGGCCCACAGGAGGTCCCCAGGAGGCACCACGAGGCCTCCATGAGGCCCCCAAGATACCCTCAAGAGGTCCCCAAGAGGCCCCACGAGGCGCCGAAGACGCCCCAAGAGGCCTCCGACTCACATCACGAGGAGCCCGAACGACTCACACCACGACGCGGGCCTCGAACGACTCACACCACGAGGAGCCCGAACGAGTCAGACC